ATTGTTTAGCTAGCTGAGAATGTGTCTTTCCAAAGTACATGAAAACATTTTTATTTGCCTCTAAAATAAATGTTCCATAACGTTCTCTCTCCTCCCACACCTCTCTATGAATGAAATAATTGTACTGCGGATAGGCCACCTATCCAGCACTTTTGACTGCAGACTTTTGTGAATGTTTACAGACATGGTTCAAGTTCTTCTCTCCCTTATACTCATAAACGAACTGGTTCTCTATGCTTTTTGACTAAAACCTACAACTTGATGGTGCTTAATTTATCCTGTGAATATAAGCGAGAGCAGAATTTGGACCATGGATTTTTTTAGTATTTTTCCTTGGAAAACTTATGTGGTTTTAAAGGCATATAGCTAAATTAACTGTATTGGTTAGGAAGGGTTATGATGCAGCATATAGAAAGGTCTTGCTTTGTTAGTGAAATTCAGTTGTGCACTCTTCTAATAATGTTAGCACCTATGGCAGCTTGTAACACATCATTGAATATCATCTATTTAAGATAAACTCTTGTTCATGTTCTAGAGCCAATAGAAATGAATGATATTCAATCCTGTGGCTAAATTAAAATGTAGAGGATACTATACTATAGAAAAGCTCTGCACCTAGAGTTTTACTTTTTTAAAGTTTAATTCTGCTGGGAGTTGTTGCTAATGTATTTTCTTTCCAGATGTGAACAAACTTTTCTAGAACATTAATGGAAATTCCTGTATTGGTTTTTAACACATTTTTTTTAAATAAACGTTTACAGTCATGGCAAAAAGGCTTTGCTCGCTATTTACGTATTTGCCTAAAAGACAAATGAATAAACTTGGTTTTACTAAGACACTTCCTAATGTTTGTTCTCCCTTATGCTGTTTCTTTCTGATACAGGATTGTATATCGAATTGTAAAATTGTTTCCTGAAGACTGGCAATAGAAACATATCCTATGACAAAAATGATCATACCCTATGATCAAAAAAAAAACTAGATAGTGTCCTCGATACTTTGTCAGTGATTTGGTATTTTTTCATTTTAATAATCAAATTTACATATTACTTTAAAGGTAAAAATGTATTGCACTTTGACATTATTTTCTGAAGCCGATTTAATTCTAGTGATTCTCCACACTGAACTTTTAAAAATCAGTGCCTTATATCTTGACTTAAGAAATCTGTGGAAAAAAAATCTCTACCATCTTTCATTATGTTTCCCTTTTCATTCTTTTCATGGCTTCTTCTTTCCAGATTTGTAGATAAATTGGAGAAGGAGAAAATAAAAGTTTGTATATGTTCTGAAGGGCAAATTGGGTTTTGTCCCATAGATGTGAATGTAGTAATTCAAAGTCATTAAGCATTTTGTAACCTTACTGAGGTGCTGAGTTTGATCTCCAATTAGTTCAAACTAATTAGTTCAAACCAGGAATCAGGTTTCCCCATCAAGTAATTAAAGTTTGAACTAATTCACATCACTTTGTAGTCAAAAGCAAGTACCAGATACCAGCTGTTATGCAGTGCTTTATCAAAAACTAAGCATTTTCTACATGTCTTTCTGAAAATCGAACATCTACTGATTGGTCATGGGGTGTGGGTTGTTTTTTTCTGTCTGAACATTAGACAGCTCAAAGATACTCTGGTTCTTAGTGAATCACAATGAGCAGGATTTTGTAAACTGAACTTTCCAGTGGTTAGGATTAAGGTAAGTTTCAATTTCTTAAGCATTTCTCCTGATGTAAAGTTGTATTTTATTAATTTTTTTTCTCTTCAGGAGTAAGGTCTGTGTTCTGCATTGCAGCAAACTCCTGCGACCCAGCCTTGGGATTTACGAAGGGGATGATTTGTCCTGATCTCTTTCATGCTTACTTGAGCACCATTTTTAAAAAGCCAAGGAAAAGTCTGCTCCTACAACAAACCGTGATGGGTCTTACACTAGGCCTGTGCTGGGAAGGGGTAGTTGCTGTGTGACGTTGATTCTAGACTATGATGTGTCATTGTTAAAGTTGTTATTACTGATATATTTCAGCTGCGTTGACAGGCGGCAAAGATAAGGTGGAGTGAAATGTTCTTTGAAATAAAATCTTTGGAACAACTAAGAACGTACTGGGTTTGCGTCTACATACAAGTTTCAATATATCTTTCAAGTATTTTAATTGCAGCTGTTGTAGGACAGAAACAGAGCAATCTTCTGTCTAATTATTCCTCTGATTTGCAAGTGAGTGTTGTGAGTTTGGCTGGGCCTGGAAGAAAACTTGCTATGGTGTGGATGTTCTTACCTTGCAAATTGTCTTCCTTTCTGGATTGAGACAGGAGCAATCCTTTTGTTTCCCATTTACTTACGCTCTAGCGAAGTGTAGCCTAATGGGTGTCTTCTGGTATCTCCCCATCTTCAGCTATTGAAAGCTGATACCATTCCCACAAGGAGGAGGAGCAATGTGTATATTATTAATTTTTAAGGAGGAGCAATAGGGTGGTATTGTTAGTTTACTCTGTGTCCTTTCTAAATTTTGATCTGGGGAAAGGAATGATGAGCCTGAAGCAAATAGGCCAGTATCTGTTCTAGGGGCAGAATTCAGGGCCAGGAAAGGACCAGGCTGAAAAATCTTTAGGAAATGGCTAAAGCATAGTGTATGGGAAGGAAAGTGGTACTGGCCTAAAAGGGTCAGAAAAAGACAAACTGAAACCTACAACTTTGTTATATGCAAATTCCATGTGAGGACTGCCTTATGAGTTTTTTGATACCTTTGGGTTTGACACTGTTTAGGAATGGCTGTGTGTAAGAATCCTCATTCTGGTTTTAACAAACTTTGAAGTGGGGGGTGCTTGGTCTGTAGGATGAGTCTGCCACTGGGTGATAAGTGGGAGCAACTGCCTACTTTAGAGAAATGGAAATCTAAACGATCCTCTAGTCTGAAGGACTGGTGCCATTTGCAAATGTAGCAGTTGGTGCAGAGAAGTGCTGGAGAATGGCCTTCTTACAGGCAGGCACCTAATCACCGTGCAGACTGAGCCTTCAGTCTGCTTTCAGAATAGAAATTGAAGGCTTTAGCTGCATCAGCATGCTGCAGAAATAGCTGAACTGCTGGTGACTCGAGCCACATTCATCTGATGTTACTTCTAAATGAGCCCTGCTGAAGTGGCATTAGACTCAAACTGGTTTTCTCTGTGGTACTGCTCTGTAACACTGGGCTGTGCCAGGCTCTTCAGCACAAGTGAACTTGCAGCCTGTAAACTCTTTTGCCCCAGAGTGCTCATGTATATTCTTCTCTGAGTGTTTTGTGGTGAGTTATCCACATGCCCCAGTGTAACCCCAAGGAGAAAGGATTAAGATGGCCCTACCTTTGACTTTTTGAATTTTTGAAACACAGAACTAAGGTGCAGCTTAAATTAACACAGAGAAACTAATACAGCAATGTTCCTGAATGTAAAAGAAAAACACCATCTGCTTTAGTCACCTCTCAAGGGCTGTATTTACAGGTACATCAGGGAATTCTCAGTAAACAACAAGGAGCAATTATTTCTGTTAGATTGTAACATGTTTTGTTCATCTATCTGACAATATAAGTACCTGTGTAGATTGTTCTATTCAAATGGCTTGGAAAAAAAATATTTTCAATAAAACCGAGTTTCTCTAAAATACAAATGTTGGGGTAGTTTTGCATATGATGCTTTTGCTTCTGCAATAATAAAAGCCATTTTTCTAAAGCATATCTTTCTTTGCCCTTACTGCCCTCATAGTAGGCATCTGCTCTGAACAGGTTTGATCATGCAGCTCAGCCTGAGAAGCCCAATACTGAAGATAATGCTACAAATGCCTTCAAATGGATATTGTCACATATTTGGAATGGTATTGCAATAAGCATGGCAATCCCAGTGTTGCAAGATGCTTGTTCTTACGGTTTTCATGATGATTTAAAGCATGCATTCAGTGGTGTAGCATTCTCTCTTATGAAGCTGAGAAAGGATTCTCGGGGGAGCAATTGGCTTTGTATGACCCATCTGGGACGAATGTCAATACGGTCAAGGTTGAAGACTTAAGTGAAATGAAGCTAGAGCCTGATCTTGAAACATAATTTAGATAATGGATGCCCACAGAAAACGGCTGTATTATTAATTCAGCTATACATCAAACTCATAAATTACATATTAAAAGCTGACTCTCCTTTTTTTCTCAGTAAGCAACAGATTTGTGTCCTTTGAGAAAGCTGCTGCCTGTTGTTGCAGCCTTTGGAAATGGCTTAGTCTGAAATGCTGTGGTTGGTTTGTCAATATTAAAAAGTGTTTTGTGGAAAATATTCTTATTTGGGGAAAATTTTTAAGACTTTGGGGCTAAAATGCTTTACTGTGGTTTTTAGATCTAGCACAATGGGGTTCAACCTGTGGTGATAGACAGTATCAAGAAATGTGTGACGAGCTATTCTATGTGGCATGGGGACCTCAACTGGAGGATTAATTACATTGCTAGTATTTGAGGTCTGAACAGTAGTTGAACCCTATTTTGTTAAGAGGTGTACAGCAGAGGAGCAGTACTCACTCTGTACACTCTGGCTTTACAGAATCATAGATTGACTAGGTTGGAAAAGACTTTTTAGATCGTGAAGTCTAACAATTAACCCAGCACTACCAAGTCTACTACTAAACCATGTCCCTAGAGTGCCTCATCCACACATCTTTTAAGTACCTCCAGAGATGAAGGAGAGACTTGACCCCTTCCCTTGGTGGCCTGTTCTAATGGTTGACAACCCTTTTGGTGAAGAAACTTTTCCTGATAGCCAATCTAAACCTCCTCTGGTGCAACTTGGGGCCATTTCCTTTTGTCCTATCACTTGTTGCTTGGGAGAAGAGTGCTTTCAGGTAGTTGTAGAGAGTGAATCATAGAATCACAGAATTCTAATGTCTCTCCTCAGCCTCCTTTTCTCCATGCTAAACAACTGCAGTTTCCTCAGCCAGTCCTCATAGGAAATTTCCTCTTTATTTTCTCTTTGTGTTTTGTCTTGCTCTCTGGTGACAGGTATCACTGATTCATAGAAATAATTTCCAACTTGCATTTTGTGGGGTCTAAAACCAGCTGGGACAAGAAGACAGCCACAGAAGACCACGGAGTTACATCAGGGACAGCCCTTAACCTCAAGACTGTTTTTGTAAACACCCTCTCCTCACCAGGGTAACTCACTCCCAGAGGACTCTCATACAAGTGGGGATTTTTCCTTCTTTCACCCTGCTTCTCACCTCAGCACTTCACATGAGCAATGTGAGTCTTTGAGGTATGCTGCTGTCTCATCTGTGAGGGGATCAGAGCTTCCCTCAAATGTGATGGATCCCCAGAAAGGGAAACCCAAGGAAAACAAAACAGAGCATCTAATTGGTAAGCCTCACTTTTGTGTGTGTTTTTTCTCTATTAAAAAGGAGCAAAACTATCCAAACAAAAAAAAAAAAGTTAATTTGATCCCAGGCATTCCTCATGTCTCTGACATAGGTTGTAGAGGAAAATTCAGGATCTGCCTTTGTGGGTGAAGCTAAATTGCCTCATTCTGCTGTGCCAGCATGAACCAGCATCTCCTTTAGGCAAAATAACCCCAGGGACTAAAACGGCTGATTCAGCTGTTGATACACTTCTGTATGTAGGGATGGGGTGGAAAGGGGAAAATATAAGTTAGAGAAAGGTATAAGAATTTTTCAGCCCCCAAAAAAGATGTTTGGATTTGTGTGATGGAACACCTGATGCTCTCTTCAAGCAACAGAACTGATGCCAAATCTAGTTATTGCTGGCAATGCGTGCTGTTTTCACTGTACTACTGGCCATAAGTATGGATAGTGTGATGGGACAAGCATGAGTCTCAGCAGGACTGATTTGGGTGCTTGTAGGAAGCAGGAGGTTGCTTAGTGGTTAAAAGAGGCTGAGTCTACTCCATCTCTTCATTGCTCTGGAGACCTGGGAGGTATTTGCCCAGAGTTCTTTATATTCTTCACAAGACAACTTCGACATGAGCTTTTAATTTGCTCTTCAGATTTGACACACCTATTGTGATTTTCTATATCAAGTGTGTTGATGATGTACTGTGTTGAGCATTTCAAGAAAAAGGGAACTGAATCTTACAAGTGCCCTTATTCTACACTATTGTGTTTTCCTAGGGTCTTTCATTTGTCTTGTGGCTAAATGGTTTGAAACTTCAGGGTAATTGGAGAACATTTATGGTGGGCTTTTTTTAACTCGGTCTTGAACACAAACATATTTATGTGTGAGTGTCGTGGTTTAAACCCAGTCAGGTAACTTGTTCACTCACTCCCAGTGAGTGGTGCCGAGCTGACAACAATCGAGGTCCGTGTCCATCTCCCCCCCCCCCCGCCCCGGGGCTCTCCCCTTCCCCACTCCCGGAGGAACGGGGAGGAGGATCGAAAGAGTGCAACTCCTACGGGTTGAGACAAGAACAGTCCAGCAACAAATCACCACCGCTACTATCAGCTAAAACAATGATAAGGGAAAATAACAAGGGAAGAGAATACGATACCACCGGCCAAGAAAGCGAGTTCCACCCGGAAGCCCCTGTCCTTCCGGGTAACTCCCAGTTACCCCCCCACCCCGGGCATGACGTGCTGTGGTATGGAATACCTCCCCGGCCAGCCCGGGTCAGGCGCCCCGTCTCTGCTTCCTCACAGCTTCCCCTCCTCCCTGGCAGAGCATGAGCCTCACAGAGTCCTTGGTCAGGGTAAACATCACTTAGCAACAACCGAAAACATCGGCTTCACCAACACTGTTCTCAAGCTAGAAGTCAAAACACAGCACTGCACCAGTTAACACAAAGGAAAAACATGACTGCTACTGCTGAACCCAGGACATTATCCACCCCTTATTCCATACCATTCACGTCGTGCTCAGATCCCACATTTTCAATACACCATCGCTCTCCCACATATATACATTCATATACATACAGACCAAGAGGAAAAAATCATTTTCTTAGTGCATGGACCAATCCCTATAACGCTGCCGAGTCCATTCGGTCCATGATGTTCAAAGTTCATTCTCTGTTGGGATGATGGCTGGAGGGAAGTCAGGGCCAGTCGCTGGTGACCTGGAGACATCTAGTTGATGGGCTATAAAAGCATTACACAGCAGGCAACAGCATACAATTGAGTTCACTGGCTGTTTTCCCCTAAAATCAAATCCCCTTGAGGTATACATCGGACTTCCCCATCTTCCCGCATTACCCAGCAAGTATATCCAGGTCCCTGAGCAAAAGCAATCCCACGAGTGGGTTTGCCTTTACCTGAAGCAGGAATAACCCAGACTGTCTTCCCCAGCAAATTCTTCATATGCACCACGGGAACTTTGTCCCCCTCTACAATATGTAAAAGTTCTGACTGGGCTGGGCCAGACCTGTTGGCAGATCCTCTGGTGTTGACCAACCAGGTGGCCTTTGGTAAATGTGTATCCCAATGCTTGAAAGTTCCCCCACCCATCGCTCTCAGTGTAGTTTTTAACAGCCCATTGTACCGTTCGATTTTCCCAGAGGCTGGTGCATGGTAGGGGATGTGATATACCCACTCAATGCCATGCTCTTTGGCCCAAATATCTATAAGGTTATTCCGGAAATGAGTCCCATTGTCTGACTCAATTCTCTCTGGGGTGCCGTGTCGCCACAAAATCTGTTTCTCAAGGCCCAGGATAGTGTTCCGGGCAGTGGCATGGGGCACAGCGTATGTTTCCAGCCACCCGGTGGTTGCTTCCACCATGGTAAGCACATGGCGCTTGCCTTGGCGGGTTGGTGGCAGTGTGATATAGTCAATCTGCCAGGCCTCCCCATATTTATACTTCAACCATCGTCCTCCATACCAAAGAGGCTTTAACCGCTTGGCTTGTTTAATTGCAGCACATGTTTCACACTCATGAATAACCTGGGCAATAGTGTCCATTGTTAAGTCCACCCCTCGGTCACGGGCCCATCTATATGTTGCATCTCTGCCCTGATGGCCTGAAGTGTCATGGGCCCACCGGGCCAAAAATAATTCACCTTTATGTTGCCAATCTAAGTCCATCTGAGCCACTTCAATCTTAGCCGCTTTATCCACTTGCTGGTTGTTCTGGTGTTCCTCAGTGGCCCGACTCTTGGGTACATGGGCATCTACATGACGTACCTTCACCACCAGGTTCTGCACCCGGGCAGCAATATCTTTCCACAGTGCAGCAGCCCAGATGGGTTTACCTCTGCGTTGCCAGTTGCTCTGCTTCCATTGCTTCAACCACCCCCACAGGGCATTTGCCACCATCCATGAGTCAGTATAGAGATAAAGTACTGGCCACTTTTCTCGTTCAGCAATGTCCAGGGCCAGCTGGATGGCTTTCACCTCGGCAAACTGACTCGATTCACCCTCTCCTTCAGCAGTTTCTGCAACTTGTCGTCCAGGACTCCATACAGCTGCCTTCCATCTCCGATGCTTTCCCACAATATGGCAAGAGCCATCAGTAAACAAGGCATACTGCTTTTCACTTTCTGACAGTTTATTATATGGTGGGGTCTCTTCAGCGCGCATCACCTCCTCCTTTGGTGACATTCCGAAATCTTTGCCCTCTGGCCAGTCCATGATGACTTCTAGAATGCCTGGACGACTGGGATTTCCTATTCGAGTTCGTTGTGTAATTAGTGCAGCCCATTTACTCCATGTAGCATCAGTTGCATGATGTGTAGAGGAGACCCTGCCTTTGAACATCCATCCCAGCACAGGCAACCGGGGTGCCAGGAGGAGCTGTGCTTCAGTGCCAATCACTTCCGAAGCAGCTCGAACCCCTTCATAGGCTGCCAGTATCTCTTTCTCAGTTGGGGTATAGCTGGCCTCAGATCCTTTATATCCCCGACTCCAAAAGCCGAGGGGTCGACCTCGAGTCTCCCCTGGAGCTTTCTGCCAGAGGCTCCAGGTAGGACCGTTCTCCCCAGCTGCAGTGTACAGCACATTTTTTACATCTGGTCCGGTCCGGACTGGTCCAAGGGCTACTGCATGAACTATCTCACGTTTAAGTTGCTCAAAGGCTTGTTGCTGCTCAGGGCCCCATTTAAAATCATTCTTCTTCCGGGTCACATGATAGTGAGGACTTACAATCGAACTGTAATTCGGGATGTGCATTCTCCAGAACCCCACTGCACCCAAGAAAGCTTGCATTTCTTTCTTATTAGTTGGTGGAGACATTGCTGTTATCTTGTTGGTCACATCTGTGGGGATCTGTCTACGTCCATCTTGCCATTTTATTCCCAAAAATTGAATCTCCTGTGCAGGTCCCTTGACCTTACTCCGTTTTATGGCAAAACCGGCTTTCAGCAGGATTTGGATTATTTTCCTCCCTTTCTCAAAGACTTCTTCCGCTGTATCGCCCCACACAATAATGTCATCAATGTATCGCAGGTGTTCTGGAGCTTGCCCCTGTTCCAGTGCAGTCTGGATCAGTCCATGGCAAATGGTGGGGCTGTGTTTCCACCCCTGGGGCAGTCGGTTCCAAGTGAACTGGACACCTCTCCAAGTAAAAGCAAACTGTGGCCTGCACTCTGCTGCCAAAGGAATTGAGAAAAATGCACTGGCAATATCAATCGTGGCATACCACTTGGCTGCCTTTGACTCTAGTTCATACTGAAGTTCTAGCATGTCTGGTACAGCAGCACTCAATGGTGGTGTGACTTCATTCAGGCCACGATAGTCTACTGTTAGTCTCCATTCTCCATTAGACTTTCGCACTGGCCATATGGGGCTATTGAAGGGTGAGCGGGTCCTGCTGATCACCCCCTGACTCTCCAGTCTACGGATCAACTGATGGATGGGAATCAAGGAGTCTCGGTTGGTGCGATATTGCCGCCGGTGCACTGTTGTGGTCGCGATTGGCACGTGTTGTTCTTCAACTTTCAGCAACCCCACAGCAGAGGGATCTTCTGAGAGACCAGGCAAGGTGGACAGCTGCTCAATTTCCTCAGTCTCCAAAGCAGCAATACCAAAAGCCCACCGGTACCCTTTTGGGTCTTTGAAGTACCCTCTCTTGAGGTAGTCTATGCCGAGGATGCATGGAGCCTCTGGACCAGTCACAATAGGGTGCTTTTGCCATTCCCTCCCAGTCAGGCTGATTTCAGCCTCCAGCACAGTCAACTCTTGGGATCCTCCTGTTACTCCAGAAATATAGATGGGTTCCACCCCTTGACAGCTTGATGGCATCAGGGTACACTGTGCACCGGTATCTACTAGAGCCTTATACTTCTGTGGGACTGATGTGCCAGGCCATCTGATCCACACAGTCCAGTAAATCCGATTGTCCCCTACCTCCACCTGGCTGGAGGCAGGGCCCCTCTAATGGTCGTCACAGCATTGGACACTTAAGTCATGTTGAAAGGGATTATTCTTCATTATCACAGGAGCTGGAGTAAAATCAGCTCTTCCACTCCATCTGGGAAACTGCTCACCAGAGACTGAAGCCGTAGATCTCATGGGACGATCAGTCTTGGCCCTTGCTCCCCTCTTCAGTTCACTCACCCATTCCTCCAAAGCTGAAGTAGGTTTTCCATCGCACTTTGTCATGTCTTCTCCGTGATCCAGCAGGTAAAACCATAGGGTACCCCGTGGCGTATACCTCCTGTATCTCCTCTCTTGAACGATAGGACGCCTTTTGTTAATAGCTGAGACGTGTGTTGGTACACGTGAGGAGCTGGATAACTCAGATAGATCGTCCCTCAATTTTTCAAGGTCCTGGGACAGTTTTTTCACAGCTGAGATGATGGAAGGGTGAGATTGTCTTCGAACTCTCGGAGTTTATGAACCATTTCATCCACTGTTAGTGGTACTATGTCATTCCAGGTCACTGTTGCCAGTGAATGGGCATATGATGACGGTGCATTCCGTGTAAGTTTTCGCCACATGGGTCGCGTACATTCAACTTCATCTGGATCTATAGGTGTATCCCTGTTATTCGGCTTGATGTGATAGATCATCTCTACGATGGCCGATTCCCTCAAAGACTGGATGCCTTTGTCTATAGTAGTCCACTTGGCCGAACGACTCGTAACATCGTCCTTGTACGGAAACCTTTCTTTCACAGCTGCCAAGAGCCTCCTCCAAAGGCTGAGGGACTTTTTCTCTCTTGCAATTGCTTTGTCAATTCCCCCTTCTCTAGCAAGTGATCCCAGCTGCTTGGCTTCTGTACCTTCTAGTTCGTGACCATCGGCCCCATTGTCCCAGCATCGGAGTAACCAGGTGATGATGTGCTCCCCTGGTTGACGGGTAAAATCTTTTCGCATATTCCGCAGCTCGGTTGAGGGCCGAGGTCGAGAAGTTACCTCTTCTTCTTCTTCTTCGTCATGTGATGATGACTCCTGATCAGATTCTGGACCGGGTGGTGAATTCATTGGTTCTTCATCTCGCTTCACCCTTTTTGCCTCCTTTTTGCTTGTTCTCTTGCGTACAGGGGCAACTGATATTGGTACGAATTGGTCCTCTGGTTTGGCTGCAGTGATTATCACTGTGGTTTGAGTAGCGACTGTACTTGTTGCTGGGGGTGGTGTAGCTACCGTGCTTGGAGCTGGGGTAACCGCGCTGTCTGTTGCAGTTGAAGTTTGAGCAGCTGCTGTACTTGCCACTGGGGTAGCTGCGCAGTTCATTGCAGCCAAAGTTTGAGTAGTGACTGTTGCTTTGCCCTCAAATCCGCCGACATTCTTTTCCTTTTGAAGGTGCTGGATAGTGTTGAACAAGGCCCTGTAAGCATAGGCCAAGCCCCAGCACGTTGCCGTGATTTGTTCATCTCTGGTATGGCCAGAATGTCCACACACCTCATTTAAGTGTTTTACTAATTCTTCTGGATTTTGCAGTAGTTTGGTAGTGAAATTCCAAAGTACTGGAGGGGCCCACTGACCTAGATACTTGCCCATACTATCCCACACACCCTGCCACTCATGGCTGTCCAGCCTCAGGGAAAATCTCTCGGTCCTCCTACATCGTCATTTGACCCCAGACAAGACCCAAACCTGAATCTGCTTAACTCTTGAAATCAGTAGTGGGCAAAACACACTCTGTATGCGTGTTAGCATGGTGATTCCCATCACCATCAGCAAACAAGTCTCAACAGCATTAAAAGGCCATTCAAAAAATTCAAAACTCTCAAATGTAAATGGTCTGGGGGACGACTAGGAGGGTAAAAGGATGTCTCATTCACAGGTTGAGCACCTGAGAAGGAGAAAAAAGATGTGTAATTGCTAAGCACCTCCATCATATACCTCCCAAAGTATAAAGGTGGTGACCACACTGGGAACATAAGCCAGATCAGTTTCATGATCAATGATTCTATTGTATTACAAGTCATTACCATAAAGTACAATGGGATAAAAACCTTAGCCCAAGCCCCACACTTGAAAAACACTAATACAGCAAATACCAGATGGACGTAAGATACGATATACTGAAACTGTGAGATGAAGAGGAAAAACCTTGAGAGCCAATAAATCAGCATTGTGACGAGTGACTATCAATCCAGTCAGATCTGTTCTTATCTCAACCCCTCGTGCCCCACGTTGGGCGCCAAAAAGAACTGTCATGGTTTAAACCCAGTCAGGTAACTTGTTCACTCACTCCCAGTGAGTGGTGCCGAGCTGACAACAATCGAGGTCCGTGTCCGTCTCCCCCCCCCCCCCGCACCGGGGCTCTCCCCTTCCCTGCTCCCGGGGGAACGGGGAGGAGGATCGAGAGAGTGCAACTCCTACGGGTTGAGACAAGAACAGTCCAGCAACAAATCACCACCGCTACTATCAGCTAAAACAATGATAAGGGAAAATAACAAGGGAAGAGAATACGATACCACCGGCCAAGAAAACGAGTTCCACCTGGAAGCTCCTGTCCTTCCGGGTAACTCCCAGTTACCCCCCACCCCGGGCATGATGTGCTGTGGTATGGAATACCTCCCCGGCTAGCCCGGGTCAGGCGCCCCGTCTCTGCTTCCTCACAGCTTCCCCTCCTCCCTGGCAGAGCATGAGCCTCACAGAGTCCTTGGTCAGGGTAAACATCACTTAGCAACAACTGAAAACATCGGCTTCACCAACACTGTTCTCAAGCTAGAAGTCAAAACACAGCACTGCACCAGTTAACACAAAGGAAAAACATGACTGCTACTGCTGAACCCAGGACAGTGAGTCATTAAATCTGCAGCAGGGCTTTCAAAATTAGAATGGTTAAAACCACAAGCAGCAAAGGGCTTGGTGGTAACACCCAGGTTTGCAGTGAACATTACCAGCAGGCGCAGACCAGCTATGCACAGAGGTATCTATAGAGGAAGGAGCTACAGGAGGGCTGCCTTGTGTCTCGTCCTCCAGGGCTGCTGGGGGTTTTCTCACAAACCTGCCAGTCCTGCTCTGCTGGTCTGTTAGCTTGTGCTTTACAGATCAGGCAGCCTCACCATGCTTCACTGTGGTGACAAGATTTTTTCTCACAAGGTATAAAATGAATTGTTTTCTATTTACCAGTTTCTATCTGCATATTAATTTTATTTGATGTCAGAAATTCGCAGCGCTACCCTATGCCTATGAAGTAACATAACCAAAGCACGTTGCATCTTTCCATTTCATCAGCATGGGGGAGGTTTTCTGAGGAGACCTCTGAGCCTTTGTCCCTTTCTCCCTGTGTCGGGAAAGAAGCTGTGGCATTCGGCTTCCTATCTCTTGATGCTCACACCTGCAAAAATCCTCTTCTGGCCCAAACCTGGCAGCCAGGCAGCCCTTGGGGCTGGCCCAACCTACATCCGTGCTGCTTCTGCTTTTCTTATGACTCTCCTGATCCAAGGCATTTCTGCATTTAGCAGTACTGAATTGACCTTACAGCACTTTGTTGTGGTAGCAGGACTGTCCTGTTTCCTCCTTGCCCTCTTTTGTGCCTCTTCTTTGAGGACCTCAGCAGCTCCAGCTGCTCTTCTCTTCAAACAGCAGCTGCTCCTTATAACCCTTTCTTTACAAAGAGCCTCCTAAAGTTAAACACTCACCAGTGCCTTCCCTTCAGGCACGAAAATAATGAAATTATTTTGATTTTGATTTGAGTGAGATTTCATTATAATGAAGTTTTGGGACGAGACAGGCTGAATCCAGTGCAAGAACTACTCAAAATGCATGAGCATGCATTTTGACAGGTACTGATTTTGAAGCTTGTGGTCCAGTGAATAAACTGGTCCATCAGTATTCCTCAAAATGCCCATCTAAAGGCAGCAGGAGTTCCCCTCATTTTCCTTATTACCTGTTTCATACTAATTAAATCTTTTTTATCCAGCCATGGCAAACCAACACAGATTCATATCCATGGATATTCCACCTGATAATTTATTTCTCCTTCCCAGCCCCCTAACAGTGCCTTTCATTTGAATTCTTTCTTACCTGGTGCAAAATATACTTTCTGAGCCTTTTATTCTTTTGCGCAGAAGGGCCATGAAGTTGGGTGTTTGGTTAGGCCTTTCATAGCTTTCTGTGGGCAATGAAAGGGAAGAAGAGGGAGTGAGTTTCTGTGGATTTTGCAATCCCTCGTGATTGCACTGGGCTATATCTACAGCCTTCAGGTAACTCTCTTCAGAATTTGCCTTCATTGCTGCTCTTATTTTTTTCATAGCTGACAGACAGGAAGGAATTGGTGTCTGTGGGTGGATCCTGCTTTCCTTTTCATTCCTCCTGGTGCTAATTACCTTTCCTATTTCCATCTGGGCATGTGTGAAGGTAAGCTAGTGGGATTTGAGGCAGAAAAAGAACACAATTATTACTGCTGTTACTCATGTTAATTGATTTATTGATTTTGTTTGTCACATTCACTTTTTGGAAATCATAACGGTTTCTAGTGAAGATGTGGACTAGGACTGGGATCCATGTTCTTCCACTGACTTTCTATATCACCGCAATTTACTCATTTGATTTCTTCCAATCTCAACTTTCCTCATTAGTTAAACTTTCTTGCTTTACAGCACTGGGGGAATAAATCTAAAAACTTTTCTGAAGAACTCATATTTGGTGCTGCTAGTGAGTAACATGAGTACATGGGCACATGGGTCCCTGCATTGAGCAGTTCTATAACCTAAAGCCACAAAATGCCCCTTCAAGACATGAGTAATTTAAATCAGTTTTTAGGGATGAGTTTCCAGGATGATTTCCCTGAACACCAGGCCTTGAGGAGTCCTGATACACTGACTGAAGCAGTTAGCTGGGTTATCTGAGGTGAGGTATACGCCTCTGAGTGTAGTACTGATATTGAGAGAGTTATGAGTAGCCTCACCATACGAGTGGCAATTCTTTTGTATTTTGTCTGTTTTGTAACCTGTTTGAGAGCAGGGTCTGAGTTTTTCCAGCAAACCAAGAGGTGAGAAGATGTAAGATGCAGAGTGTTTTGCAGTTTTGTTGGTTCCAATATTATCTCTGCTTTTTTTCACATATAGTATGGATGCCAAAGAGTAAAAAAAAATCAGACCAGAAAGTGGGAATAGAATTAGTTGCAAAATTCTAAACTTAAAATATTTTCCTAGGTTATCAGAGAATATGAACGTGCTGTTGTATTTCGTCTGGGACGTATACTGTCTAAGAAAGCAAAGGGACCAGGTGAATACATGCAATTTTATTCTCTTAAGATGCACTGGTTTTATGTTATTACGATGCACTCTGACCACATCAAGAATTGCAGAGGTCCATGAAGCACAGCAGAAGGTTGAGGACTTTGATATCAGGTACAGCTTTGCTGTTGAGTAGGTTGGACAACAAATGGTAGGTTGAGCTCATGCTACAGACACTGATGGTGGACCGGGGAGGGCTACATGCAGTCTTCAGGCCTGGTAAGGACTTTTTTGAGCGACTGGGCTGCTTACTCTTACTCACTTCCGACACTTCTTGCTGCTGCCAGCAATTTAGCTGTCTTCTGCTCTGAAAATAGTAAATGTGTAAGGAAAAGGACACTCTGCATCTCTACAGAGTTTGGTGCAGTCACTTAGGATCAGGTTATATATCACAAATACAAACCAAACCCAGCAACACAAAGTATTTGTGTTGGTGTAGTTACGACCTTTTTGCAATGAAACGGGGCAAACTGGAAGCTGAAATAAGGTGAAAAAGTCCTTTTCAGATTCTTTCTTTCCTCTTGAATAACAACCATGTGGTCCAAAGTGCAGCTAGGGCAGGTGCAGAACTCTTCTTGATGACTCTGGGCACCTAGTCAAAGTGCTGAGATGAGAAGAATAGCAATGTCAAGCCTCCCTCTCCTGAAAGGTGAGTGGAGACTCCTTCACAGGATGTGTCAGAATGTGGGACAATGTTCCTCATGTTGCAACCTACAGGCGGTGCAGGAATCTGGGCCTGGGGTATATCTTTCCTTGAGACATATATGGCTTATGATTTATAAAGGGGAAACCAAACAAAGACGTGGAAGGAGTTTTTGTCAAAAGTCTGGTGGCAGATTTGAGACCAGAGCTGCACTCTCCCCATTTCAAGTCCAGGGCCCTAGGTCATTAAGCTCCAATAAATTAACATTATTTGCAGATACCTGCATTTCCCTCAGTTATTTGAAAATGGAACGTCCTGTTGCGGAAAGGACAGTTGTAGTAATAAGGTGGGCACATTCCCCACCCTGTGGATATTTCCGTCTGTTTGCTTGCTGCAGGATACCTGGTTCTAGAGTTAGCTTTCAGTGGCATTTCATGTAATTATTTTTGTTTTTCAGGTATAATCCTCATACTTCCATGTACAGATACATTCGTCAAGGTTGATCTTAGAACAGTTGCCTGTAACATTCCTCCGCAAGAGGTAACTATTCTCTAGCAGCTGTCTAAGACAGACATAAAAGGCAGAGGTGATTCATGGCATGATCAAAAGTAATGCAGGTGTTTTATAGTCGTACACCTGTAAACTACCACAGAATTTAGCTTATTTGCTGTATTTTCTGACTTTCAAACTGCTTACAAAATTTCTTGAAGGCAAAACATGTCGAGGAGGGAACAGATAGTGGAGCATCATGAGAGCTCTGCTGAGGCAAACTGGCTGCTGAAGCACAGAGGACTTGTCTGGCAAAAGGTGACACAACTCCTCTGTGAATGATTAAATATTTTTCAGATTTCTTTGTTGCAAATTTCAAAGTGCAAAATTTCTTGTACTTTGCTTTTAATTTTTGCTTTAATTTGCTGGAGTTTCTTGGAAATACTTTGTTTAGAGGAAGTAGCACAGATTTTCCAAACTGTGTGTAATTTATAAAATCATGAATGGCCCTTTCTACAAGAAAGGAGGAGTATAACCATGGTCATATAACCACCATTGCAGAAGAAAATGATTCAAGTTATGAGATTTACTCACTATCGGAAGAGTTATTTGAAGGGTATGTACTTTGGTGATGCTGGATAGCTTCCTTAAAATTATTTCTCGGGGGAATGACAAAGAAACAAAAATAAATTCTTGGTTTCCTTGCATTATCAGGGTCTTTTTTTCACTAAGGAGAAAAAAAAAACATTTCCCTTCCTTGGCAAAAGATGTGTCATTGGATCCTTCTCTAATTCTGTACATTTGTCGAATGCAGATTCTCACAAAAGATGCTGTTACTACCCAAGTCGATGGGGTGCTATACTACAGGATCCACAGTGCTGTCAGAGCTGTTGCTAATGTCACTGATGTCCATTCAGCTACCTTCCTCTTGGCACAGGCAACCCTGAGAAACGTTCTGGCTATGCAGACCTTGGCTCAGCTCCTGGGAGGCCGTGAGGAAATTGCACGCAGTACCCAGGTAAATCCAGCTCTCAAAATTCACTGACAAGCATGGAGGTGTGTTCTGGGGAGTAGCAAATCAGAACTAATCTCTCTTTCTTTTCAACAATGATAACAAAATTTTCCATTATGTTTCTTTCAGTTATACATCTGCTTGTCTGGAGTCAGAAAGAAAGGTATTTCCCCAGGTTCTTGTAGAAGAGTTATTTCCTATCAAAAAGCAACAAAAATCTGCAATTATCCAGTGACCTGAATAAGTTAGTTTAGCCATTGCACAGAGGCTGCTGTAAGTAGTGAGAAAGTCTGCTGTTCGTGGGAAACTCTGTCTTGATCAGACCTTTGATTGAGGTTTAATCAAGACAAAGCTTTATCTCCTGTCATAACAACATATAGTACAGAACTGAGTTGGCTTATGCTTTAAAATGCCATCTGTTTTGCTATTTTATTTGGCAGCCAGGGAGGAAGCAGAGAAATCCAACACCTGCTTTACTCTTTTTCAGTCAGAGATGAGGCATAGTCAAATCAAAGAGAGACTGTACACCTCTCCAGCCAAGAGAGCAGTGGTAGGCAGAGCCAGGGTCATGGTGGTGACATGGGTGCAGTAGTGCATAGCAGCCTGAGCACAGAAGAGCATGCCAGTGCTACAGGGCTGTGCTGTGTCTTTCACTCATAGTGTGCCGTTACGTGCTTTCACTGTGTTGTGCTAGTTTAGGAAGTTTGCAAATTACTTTGCAAAAGGGAGAAGTTTGACCAGACCTAAAGAAAGGATGGGGATCATAATTTAGGAGGCAGTAGAGAAGCCACACAGGAGTTGATCAGCAAGAGTTTCATAGGTTGTGGTACCCACTGTACTTACACCCATTGGACGGTAGGGCTCCATCTTTCTGTTATGCAGGTTTGCATGCTGACTTTCCTTCTGTCCTAGAAGCAGGGTACATGGCATGGTTTTCTTTCTGCCCTCACTGTGCCTTTTGTGATGGGTTGTGTGTTTGTCCCAAGGCTATCCTCAACAGAGCTACAGAGCAGTGGGGAATCAAAGTGGCCTGTGTGGAGATCAAAGATGTCAGGATTCCTGTGGCCATGCAGAGGGCCATGGCGGCCGAAGCAGAGGCTGCTCGAGAGACAAGAGCTAAGGTGAGATCCATGGCAGTGTCTACCCCCAAGCTCTTGTATCCTTGTCCCAGTCCTCCAAGTGCCTTTTTTTTTTCTCCTCATTGTAAAGGTGAGGTTTCCCCACAATGGGCAGCGTCACAGAGCCATTTCCACTTCTCTTACTTTACAGATTGTGGCAGCAGCAGGAGAAATGAATGCTTCTAAAGCTCTCAAGCAGGCCTCCATGGTGCTGGCTGAGTCTCCGGCAGGTCTCCAGCTGCGCTACCTGCAAACATTAACAACCTTGACAGCAAAAAATAATTCCACCATTGTTTTCCCTCTCCCTATAAATATGCTTGTGAGTTTGGGGCAGAAAAGTAAAGGGGGTTAGAGACTGTTCTATGCTAGCTTCTTGAACAGAGAGATTTAAATGGTTTCCCAGGACTCCAAGGGTTCCAGACTTACAGTAGAAGCATGCTTCTATCCTCTGTATCAAAAATAAGAGTTAAAATAGTTAAATAATCACACATAGCTCCAACATTTTATGACTGCATTTGCAAAGCTCAGGTGCTAACCAGTTTCAGCGGAGTCATCTCTAAGTGAAATGGAAGAAAACATGTGAAATATAAAATATGTAAAATGCATGTTAGACCTAGTATGAAATTTTAATGATGCTTTCACCACATTTTACAGAGTCTGGAGTATAGAAATTATTTGGTAGTTTGTCTGCTAAGTAAGAACCTCTGAGCTTTTGATGTACTCCACACAAAGGAGGTCAGACAGTGGTATTTAACTCATATTCTGTGGAGTGAAAAGAAAGATTTAGGCCCCTAACCTTAGAGGTGTTCTTTCATAACTACTGGAAGAATTCCTGGATAAATGGTATGTCAGTGGAATAGCCTGTTTGTCTCATATGAGTAGAAATTAACACTTGCTTTACTGACCTTTCTACGAGATCTGTTATAAAAGGAAGACAATATATGTCCAGGCATTACAATCACATTTCCTAAATCCGAAAGCTGGAGAAAACCTTGAGGAAAACAGATTGTCCGATGTTGATTTAAGTGTCTGACTTGCACCTTCAGGAGGTTTCTGGAGGTTTCTGGAGGTTTCAGGACACTCCTTTGCAGGTGTCATGAAGCAGAGGTTCAGGTTTTCATAATGAAAACCTTTCTCACCCTCTATCCTTGCAATGCCCGGCAGCAGTGGGGGACATCGCTGATATCCGAGTTCAGCTGTCATTATACTTGAGTTTACAGCCTTCAGCTGGGCAGTTCACAGTGCTGGCACATGGTGATGAGCTGTCTGCTGTGAATCCGAGGCTCTCATGGTGTAGATGTTCTGGTAGGTGATGCTGCCATGTAGTATCTTGTCCATGCAAGGCTCGCTGCTGCCCCTCCTATCCAGTAAGGTCATTTAACTTCAAATTAACCAGATCAGCATGGACCTACTTATTATCATATTGTTGATACAGGTCCTTCTTATTTTCACCAGTGTACCACGAAGCTGTCCAGGTGACAAATTTTTGCACTCAGTAGCTGCTGGCACGAAGACAGTGCTACGAGCATCCAAGGATGGTGACCTATTCAGCAAACCCACCTTTTCTTTTCTTCTCTGCTCTGCTTCAGACATGACTGCCAAATGGCATACTGATGGCAAACAGAAGAACTAAGACCTGTATTTGCAAACCATCTATGTATCAGTGTTATCAAAACACTTTCTACAGGCTTTTTCTTATCCTAAGAAAAGAGAGGTTTTGAGTTTTGGGGAGTTGTTTCTCACTGTCAACTTAGTTTGCCGTTTGTCGAAGCCTTTAGAACTGTGGCAGCAATACCCCCACCTTTCCTAGCAAATACTTCATCTCCACTACAGAGCTCTTTGCATGGCCACAGTAGCAGCAGTGCTTTAGAAAAATACAACCACAGATTGAGTCAGGTGGTTTTTATGTAGTGCAAATTAATTAAACTCTGAAAAAAGAAAAGCTTGAAAGATGTGACTACAGAGTGCAGTTAAAAAGCAGTTCTGTGCCCTCAGTGAACTACCAGCACTAACTAGACCATGCAGGACTGCTGGCTCAGGCACAGGACATATCCAATCCAGTTGCTCATCCCTGATGCTGGACCAGTTCCAGTGCCAGCTTCAGATGTGTGTATGGGAATTCTGCTGTGGTGTAAGTGGGGTTGTTCATTCCTTTACCTGAGGGCTCACAATTAAAATCAGAAATTAAATGATGTGCTGAAGCATGAGTGTTAATATCTCTTTCAGTAGTAGTGTAACAGGCTGTACTTGGTAAGTGAATGAATGACCAGTCTTCTTTCTGAGCCATGCAAATTTCTTGGCCTCTTTTGCTGTCCAGTGACAATGACTGCAGGAATTAATAAGCTCTGCAAGCACCATGATTTTTTGTTTGATCCCCTGCAGGATGATTGGGCTGTTGTATAATGGATCAGGGAGACAGAAATTCCTGCTTTCTCTTCACCAGTATCAAGGACAAAACCCACAATCAGCATTAGAGTAACTGCAATCTTTTATTATTACACTTCTACCCCCCCCCCCCCCCCCCCCCCCCCCCCGCCTATGTCTACAAGAAATAGATCAATCAGCAAAGCAGAATCAGCAAGAAAAATTCTGGAAGGAGCCACGTCGCAGTCACACAGACAGGATGTGGGAAGCAGAGCAATGGTTCAGAAGGAGCACAGGTTCTCAGACGTGTCCATGAAGTCATGCAGGTCAGCACAGGCTTGCCGGTGCAGGGTGGTGCGGCACTCGCTGTCTTCTGGAATTTTCTCTACCCAGGTTTGTGAATCAAGGAGGTACTGCATCCTGAGTGCAAGTGGGACAGGTAAAGAGGTGAGTCATGACTATGGATGTGGAGCAATGGGAAAGCATACACCCCATGATGCTGTATCCCTCCACTTGAGCATCTCTGAGAGCAGGAGGAGTTACACCAGCCAAGAAACTTGTCTGAAACCAAGTTTCACCAGCAGGTTAACTGTGCTTTGAATAAAGTTAGCGAAGTGTCAGTGCCACACTGGGCCTAACTAACTGAAAAAACTACGTGTGTTTTGGGTGCCACCAGGTAAGCTTGGGCTAAGTTTCTATTAGTTTTCTGGAGTAGCACAAAAGCCCCAGTGCACACCAGTGAAACACAGTGAAGGGGGGTTTCGTTTCAACAGACTATTCCAAGATGTTTCCTAATTTTCTGTGGTGATAACCATTTCTGGCATTTTATGACTGGGTTGGGGAAGATTTTGGAAGCTACAAGTCTTTGTGAGACTTCAGTTTTTAGCAGGCTTCTGTTGAAGCAGACCCCTGACTTAAGCACTCTCTGTTGTTGTACAGAGATGGGGAGAGGGACTTTTTAAGGTTTTAGGAAGTGGCAGTCATAATTTGACTGAGAAGGTCTCCCTCCTAGAAATTTTCAGAGGCACTAATTTTTCTCCATTTCCACACGGGAAAATGAAACATTTAAGGTGTCTTCCTCACAGAATATTTGGTAGTGTCAGGCTAAGGTCCTCCTCAAATCAATTGTCTTTTCTCATTAAAGTGTGACAATGAGAAATGAGAAGAATAGGCTATTTGCATGGATGATGTAACAGAAACTGAGAGTTGCTCTTAGCCATGGTCCCACCCATCTCTTTTGCAAGCATAGGAGTTGTCTGAGGCATCTGCAGTAGATGGAACTATGGAGCATTTCCCATCCTACTTTTCTAGCTGTGAGTTTTTAACCCAGTGGAGTCAGAGGCAGATTTTGATTCTGAGAAATGTGGGAATGAGGCTCTGCACAGATCCATAAGCTGATAGGTTTGGGTGTCTCAGCTGTTCCCCACAGCTACCCTTTTGCCTCTTTGCGTAGTACTAAAGCCAGCAGAATTGGCCCCTAAAAATTTGGTCCTCCCTTTGCTTTCTGGAGGTATTTTAAGAGGCTGAGTATCCTCTGGATCCAGGGTCCATGATAGCTGCTGCTTGGAAATCATTGCACTCACTTGTTGTTGAAATCAACCGTTTGCCCATCTTTCCCCATGATGAGGTACCGTTTGCCAGCGACCACATTCAAGTTGCATGCAGAGCGTGTTAGGAACTGTCGGTGGACACCCACTTGGATGCTTTCATCACTAGCTGTGGCACAATAAGTGAAAACCTCATCAGCTTTTCTAATACAGAACCGTAGCCCATAGGACACAACCCCTTGTGATCATTTACTCCACTGCTAAGCAAAGGTAATATTTCTCTTGTGAGCTGTGGCTTGGCATGGGAATAAATGGCCATGCTATGGTAGGCTATACTTTCCTTAACATTATTTGAGAAAAAGTAAGCCATTTTGGTCTTAGCTGGCTGTCTGAACTTCCTCAGTAGTTACTGAAGGAGCTGTTTTGCTATAAAGAACTTTCAGGCCCTATGGAGTTTGTTTAAATTTCAGAGATTAAAGCAAAAGGCAAGGGAAACATGCTTTTATATTTCACATTGCTTAGGCTCGTAATGGTCTTAAAAGCTAGCAAACTAAACTCAAACATCTTGAGGCTCAACAGTGCAGCAGACACTATTAAAAACTCACTCTTCTTAGTGCATCTGACCTGAACTTTACATAAAATAATTTAGAAGTTCCTGGTCAGCATTCTGGCCCAGAAAATTATTCATCTGGGCACCGCACTGCCCACTAATTCTGTTAATAATCAAAGTAGTCTAAGGAGCGCACATCTGCAAAATTGTCTTTGTCTTACACAAGTAAGTGTTTCCATCTGTCTTCTGAACCAACCTTTTATTTGCAAGGATTGGTACTGAAATAATGCCAGGGGTCCAGAAAATGAGAATTTACCCTACTAATTCTCATCTACCCTTGGTGATGGCAGCATAGACCAACCTCACTGAAAACAGGTACAGAAAAGAACAAAAGATAACAACTCTAGTTAGTCATGAGCTTCTTTGGATGAAATGCCTTGCTTTTTCTTCATGCCTCATGGCTTCATGTCTCTTCCCAGCTTTTCCAAGCCTGTAGAAAGCCTCTTGATGCTCATAAGCTGCATCATACAGCACAAACCAAAGGGGATTTTAAGGGATAAAATAAAGAGGAGGTAGGAATGGGAGAAGTCATCTCTTCCCTTTAACTTCACAATCAAAGTATATTTCTCTCAGCTGTTTCCAGTGCTTGCCTATGAGTTGAGAGTTCAGATCCACTGGGGCTCAGAGCTCTAAGTCCTTTAGATCATGAAGGTTTTCTGGAGGGATTAATGAAATTTTCCATCCTGGTACTCTAATCTCCCATAGCCAGTGTTTTGATCATTAGGTATATTATAATTTCTCTACATATGGAAAGTCCCTTGTAGAAAAGATGCTGTCCCTGAACTCATGAGGTATGGACCTCGTTTTCAGACAGGACCCAAGCACTGGGCACAGATCACAAATTGTGTGCCATAAAGTACTTGGTGACACTGCCAGTGCCCTAGGCAAAGACCAAGGGAGTGGGTTAATTATTCTGCTCCAGTCTAGGAAAGTTTCAGAATCTTTGAAGCTGCTTTTTAAAGGCAATCTCTGGCTACCAAACTCAAACCTGACAACCATGTGATACCACAGCAGCTGAAGTCTGATATGACAGACTCTCCAGAAATTACTTTGAGGGTATCAGTGTTCACTGATGTTGATGATAAAGTTCACCTGGGGACAGCTGGGATGGCAGGCTTGTGAAAGGACATTGTCTGAGAGCAGTGCAAAGCTTTACACTGCACCTAAAAAAAATAAAGAGGCTTCTTTGTTTTTTTCACATCTATTAAATTGAAGTTCTAGAAGTTTTCCTGTGTTCACTGACTTCAGGCAAGCCATTGTGGACAACTCTGCCTGTTCTGCTAGGATTGCAAGTGATTAACAATATATTGGGTAACAAGCACTTCAGATCTTCATCTAGTATCAAAACAGAGGTCAGCGGACATTTCTCCAATAGAAAAA